GGTGGGCTTGGAGCACGCAACAGCCTCTTCAACTTTTGATTTAACGACTCGTATGTCCACATATGGAGCAATTCTGAGTTATCAATTTCCAACAACATACCAGTTATCTTACCAGCAAGATCTGGGTACATACGATGAATAAGTAGGCTAAGAAGGCAATCAAAAAGTAGTAATTATCTCCAACCTCATTTGATTTTTGTTTCATCCTTAAATGTGACTGTATATATCCTGTTTCTTTCTCTCTCTGTGTTATGAAATATCTGTGATGTCTTTAAATAAACTTGTATGTAAATAACGCCATTGTGGAATTAAATTTTTCTACCCTTCGAATATTCCTTCCCCCTATACATATAGTTAAACAAATCATTATTTATTACTTACTTAATTATATAAATTGACTTGGAATTACTTTACTACTACAAATAATAACTGTTGTCAATAACAATTTGAGAATGAAAATAATTCTATAACGTAAATAAATATAATAATAACTAACAATTCAAGCATATTATTTAATAACTTTTTAAATCAATTTTTATTGGGTCAAATTTAAATAAAATTACCGACATAAACCAGATATTTCAAACTGGTAATATTTAATATGCAAATACTTTTATATATTTATTTTTTATATATCAATTACATATTATTATTGTTTTGAAATACTTTTCCAACTGTAATAAAATTTCGAAATTCATTGATATATTTATTATATCGATTTTCAGGGACTTTTACTAAGCTTCAAATAATTTGGTTTTCATAATTAGAACTTATATAGAAATCAGTTAAATTATATTATAATTATCTTATTTTTTTTTACCTGAAATAAATCAAATTATCTAATATTTATTATTATTATACTGTAGTTTTTATTTGTTTTGTAATTTTAATGATCTCAAAATATTTGTATTTTTAGATTCTTAAAATATACTTTAACCTCGCTTAACGAGTTTAATCCGTTCCTAAATTTCGGGATTTTTATTCATATTCAAATATATGTCTACACAAGTTTTAAAAATGATATAGTAGGCATGCGATCCGTGGCTTGTCTTCTCATCGTCACTCGTTAAAAGTATGAAAGATACAATTAATTTTGCTCGTTAAGCGAAATGCTCGTTATGCGAGGTTCCACTGTATTTAAAAAAAACTCATCTTTAGTATAAATTCTCATAAATTATATATATTATGTTTTTTTTTATTGATTTAATAAACTTTAATTATTATTATTAATTAATTAAATTTACATAATTGTACCAAAACCGGGGTAAAAAAAATACAATTAAATGAAACAAATTTTCCAGCCAAAAAAAGAAAAAAAAAATGAAATAATGTTAAAAATTTAACACGTGAGTATTATTTTTTCTTAATAAAATAATAAATAGGTTAATAAAATAATTGTATTTATTAAAGAAGTATAAGACATTTATTAGCACTAAATGTTGGAGATTTTTATTACTGTATTTTCGCTATTCTGTCTTTGCATTGTTCTGTTTTATCACTGTTTTGATTTGTGCTGTTCTCGTGTTTGTTTTGTCATGTTCTGTCCTGAATCATTAGCTTTCAAAAATGTCTACGAAAAGTTTGTCAGAAATGCATAAAATTTTTCAGTGAAATATTTAGAAAACCAAAGAAAATGAAGAGAAAATAAATATTTGTTTTATCGAAATAAATGTTAACAAACAAAGATCATCCTGATTTAGGAAGAAATGTAATTGTCAATCGATCAGTGTTAACTTCGTATTGGCAATTGTTAATTGAAAGAGAAAAGTACAAACAATCAATTTTAGACACAGATTTTAAAGTGTCATTTCACTTTGTATGTGAATTGAATGTTTATTTAATGAAATGTTTCTTTATCTATCTGTATTTTTCTTTACAAAGTTATTTTGTAAAACGCATAGAAATTCGTTAATCGTATAACTATATTTTTATTTACTTAAAGAAAAATGTGTTTATATTTAATGTAAAGTAATAAGATACAGAATAAATTATAATATTAATTAATTCTTAAAGGAAACATACAAAAAAATAGTAAAAAGGTAAAATTTATTGTACACATAAAAAAGAAAAACAATAATAATTTATTAAAATGTATTTTATGTTATTGAATATTATTATTTAAATAATATACATCAATTTCGGTAAATCTATTTGTTTTGTTTCCATATACAGTAAGACCTTGTTTAACGCTGATTTACTATAACGCGGTTTGCTGGAAACCTTGAAAATGCTCAAAAGTACGATTATTCCCGAAGACGTAGCGCTGTGCTTCCCCGAAGTCTATGCATGTTTGAGATGTAGATGAGCAGGATATTGAGGAGTTACTGCAGGTTTCTGGTGAGGACCTTATCAACGATGACCTTCGAGAACTGGCAGAACAAGGAATTGAAGAACGCGAAAATAGTGAAAATTTGCTACAGATTTTCTTAGAAAAAGTTTAGAAATCGTTGATTAAATTTTAACGAATGGTCCAAATTTTGATAGGAGTGCAAAAGCAAGAAGAGGAGTTTTGGGTGCGATGTCCTACTACCAACATTAGCTAATGAAAGCAAAAGAAATGACTCTAGATAATTTTATCGCTAAATAATCGAAAATATCAGAAGAGCCAGGAGCTTCATCACGAAAATAAACTGAATATTTTTGTGTACAAATGTTTGTGTTTTATAAAACATATATTATAATGCAAATTACTTTAAATTCAACTTAAAATTAAAGTAAAATTTGTTGCGTGTTTCCTATTTGCTATGACCTCCCATAACGCGGTTTCGTTTAGAGCTCTGCCTTCACGGACGCATCTAAAGCGCTAAACAAAGTCTTACTGTATAATTTTTTTGCATAAAAATTGGTCACCTTCCTCGAAATGTCCAATGAAACAGCGAGACGGAAATCGCTGAGCATTGTCGATATGCAAATGAAATGCATTCGACGTATAAAAAAGAAGGCAAACATAGAAGAAGGCGAGTGAGTGAGTGTCTGCGACTTAATCCGATCACGTTCGATACCAAATATGTTGTTTAATACGGTGAGCAAAATGCATGTGTTTTTTGTTACAAATCGCACAAATTGTTATTTCCAAAAATTGATAAATTTGATAAACAACCTCGCAAACGTTTGATCGTGGTTTTAATGAACGGAATAATATTGACTGTTCTATTTATAACAAATACGGCGTTCGTGATCAATCGAACTTGTTTATGCGAACTATACCGTATTGTTTGTTTGTTTTTTTTTTAAATGGAAATCCCACGCATTGTTTGTGCAAAACAAATTTATTAAATTCAATTGAATATTTGTATGTGTAGAAACAATTTAAATATTTATTAATATATTTATTTGAAATTTAGGTTTGTTTCGCGTGCTCACTTCTGCTGGGAATCGCAATTAGCGCTCCAATTCCGTCGTTGTCTCGAGAATACGGCTCACCTTACGTATCCTCCAATTTCCAATCTCCTCCATTCGCAAGTTACGACGATTTCTACAACATCAAATCGATTCTGAACGATTTCAAGTATATCACCTGAATGCACACTTTGATAAGTGATAAACTGTAAATGTTTTAATTGTATTTATAATAATAAATCTTAACTTGTCATGTTAACATAAACTTAACATTTCCCATCGATATAACAAAAAAATATACACGTTTTTTTGTGTGTTGAAATTAATTTATTTTACAATTAGAAAAACTTTCGTAGTGATGAATCAAATAATAAAAAAAAATGTAACTAATGTAACAATAATTTAATTATACATATTTAAATGATCTTTAATCATCGTGCTTCTTAATATGCAGCACTTGTTCAAGGCCATCTCACATTTTTTTCTTTTGATTTTAGAAGTTAAACTAATGACATTTTTTAATAAAAAGTGTTATAGAAAGTGTTGTTTATATGTTTTTTTTTTCACAATTTTAATTGAATAATATTAAGTAAATTATTGATATTCTAGTTACGTCTATGAAATGTACTCTCCTTGTTGTATCGAAATGATACTAGAATTTCATATAATATTTGTGTCAAATATTTATTGTTAGTTTTTATCAATTTTCTTCTCTTTTGTTTGTTTGTTTTTTACAAAAACGTCATCCAAATTGTTTTTTGTTTTAATTCTGTATAGGTTAGGTTATGTAAGAGTGAATAATTTATGAAGAAATACGAAATAAAAAGTACTAAGTTTTATGATACCAACTGAAATTAGTTTTAAAATTTTACAAATGTTAACTAAAAATAATATTTTCTGGATTTTCAATAAGTGAGATCATGATTGTTCTGTTTTTACCGAAAATTACAAAATTTTTCTGGGCTCGATCCAACATATTTCTTTATTGTTGTAATACGATTCAAATGCTAACAGATTTACACCTCAGTTCCTCTCTTTGACACAAGATGACAGCTGTCAATCTGTACTGACATAACCAAAATCTAATGTTCATGATTATTTTTATTAGGTATGAATCATGAATCTTTCTATTTATACTGAGCAATAGTTAGCTGTTTTCCTATTCTTATATTCCTTTTTGAAATACTCCTACAAGTCGAGGGTTTCCTCTAAAATTTAGTATTGCACCGTAGAAAAAAAATATACATCGAGTCAGCATCGAGTCTTTCTACCATTTCATACCTTTTTGTCAATCCCCCTTGAAATGGGAGTTATTTCTGCCGCACCCTGTACATACACGAATAAGGTTTTGCAATTGTTGTTTCAGCTGGAAGAAAATATCTATTTTGATAATAAATATGAATTATATTGAAAATGACGATAGTTCTTCGGAAGAATCTATAAGTTTTAAATCAACACAATGTTTTTGTTGGCTATCGTCCTCTTCAGAAGAGATGAGTGTTAGTGCTACCGAAGACGAGGATACTGATGATGAAAATAACCATTTAGAACAAATTTCTAATAATAGAGAATGGATACCTATTACGGAAAAAAGACATGTTGAGCTAGAATATGCACAGGAAGATACATTAATCGACATGAATATAGATTCCAATGATCCATTTTTTCTTTATAACAGATAGTATACTGAAAATTATGATAGATGAAACTAATAGGTACGCAATCCAATCCGAAGTGGAGAGTAACGTCGTTTCAAAATTTAAAACTAGAAAACATCAGCTGTCTTGTAAACCCGTCAGTATAGCGGAAATGAAAAAAATTATAGAAATTTTGCTCATTATGGGCATAACGCAAGTTCCAGAAATTATATTGGTCCGATATTTATATGTACACCAACTTACTTATAAAAATGGCTATGAAACGTGATCGGTGGAAAAGTGTTGTTATAGATGAAAGCATGATACCATGGCGAGGTCGCCTTAGTTTTCGTATTATAACTGTTTACGAAGAAGTGTTGGTAAGTGGTAGAAAAAAATATAATAGAATTAATTTGTGGGACGTCAATTGCAAATGCTTTGTATATACATATAAATGGGGAACTGGGGAAAAATATGATTTGTTAAAATTTCGAGAAAAAATTATTGATAAACTAATAAATGATGACGATACGGAGATGCAAGTAAATCAAAAACATTTCATTGAAACGTACTCTGGTACAGCAAGACAGGCAAGAAAGCGATGTAGAGAATGTTATAAAACAATATCTTCACGGAAAGGTAGTGTAACTACCGCTAAAAAAGCAAAAAAAGTTGTTGCACTATTTCTTATAATTAATGGGTCATGCCGTCGTCAATGTGTTAAAAATCTATAAATTTCTTTGACTTTTTGAATCGTCAAGTTTGAGTGCTTTTTTTTAATTGAAGGAAAATAATATTAGGAAAATCTTTTGTTTCAGAATTCTATGCAAATTGAAAATTCAATTGAAATTGGATTTATATGTTTTTTTTTTTGTTAAAATTCGAGTAAGTTTATAATTTTTACCAAAAAAAAAAACAATAAAATTTGTAAATCTATAAAACTGAAATAAAAACCTTCAATAGATTACATAACTGTTTTCCCATCTAAATCATAGATGTCCTTCAATTCCATTGCAATATCCATATTAACCTTATCAACAATATACATCTGAAAGTACATTAAAATTCACGCTGATTGAACTAAAATTACGATACGACAATTTAAACAGAAACGAAATGCTCCAGATAACCTTTAGAATGCATTAAATGTCAACAAGGTCCGGTATTTCGGTTCAAAATCCAGAAGCTTATTGGAAGCAGACAGAAAGAGATCAAACAAGACAAACAAACAACGATCTGCAACTAATTTCGAGCTTCAAACCAAACACACCTACAAAACACAACCTCCTCAAACCGGTTTCCATAAATATCACCGGATTAACTCAATGCAAATCAAAACAAAGAAAGATAATCATTAAGAAATTAAAGAGATTGCTGCACCGAATAAATCTTTCTTGTAAACGCACATTTCGCTGATTCCGAAACTGCGAATCGGTCGTTAACACACGTCGAGCTTGTTTTGCTTTGGAATATTCCGTGTTTTCCGTTTTTGCGAGCAAGTTTCACAAGGCAATTATTAACAGCTGCTAAAACTCTGGTGGCTTTTGATGCTCGCTCGTCGAATATATGCTTCATCTTTGATGTTCGGAAACAGCCAAGATCATTTGCGCGTTTCAGTCAACGACCTTTCTGCGCTGTAAAAGCCCAAAGTTATTACAACCACCAAAAAAAACATCAACAAAAAATAAATATGTCTATAATGTTATGTGTATAATGAAGATTTGGTTTTATAGATTAAATGCTCAACAAAAAAAAATTGCTACACTTTATTTCAATAAATACTTTGCTTTATTACATTTATGTTTATTTACAATAATTGTCTACAATTACATTAAGTAAATTAGTTTTTTTTTACAGATACATAACACAAACGAATATTTCTCTAATTGTTTATAGAATAAGTGCATTACATACATATATTTGAAAAAAATATTGATGTTTCAATTTATAAGACAGTTTTTCGACTTACATGATTTTTCTACTTACGCGATTTTAGTTTAATTTCTACAAATAGTGGCGTGGTAGTGTGGTGGCCTATATTGAAAAAAAAAATGCCAGATCGGTCATACATATCCTAACATAAAAAAATCTTTGTTGGGATTCAAAGTGTCTAAAAAAAGGCTAACACTTTTACTTGGTGGAAATTCTGCTGCAAATTGCAAAATAAAACCACTTCTAATATACTACAGCGAAAATTTGCATAATTTTGTGCTTTCCTCGACTTACGTGATTTTTCTATTTATGCGATTTTAGTTTACTTTCCACAAGTCGTAACGTGCTAGTGTGGTGGCCTATATTGAAATAAAATGCCAGATTGGTCATACACATCATAACATAAAAAAATCTTTGCCGAAATTTAAAGTCTCTAAAGAGAGGCTAATACTTTTACTTGCTGCTGGAGATTGTAAAATCAAATCACTTCTAAAATAACAAAGCGAACATTTGCATAATTTTGTGCTTTTCTCGACTTACTTGATTTTTCTACTTACGCGATTTTAGTTTAGTTTCTACAAGTCGTGGCATGGTAGTGCGGTGGCCTATATTGCAAAAAAAAAGGAAAGATCGGTCATACATATCCTAACATATTTTTTTTGCCGGGATTTAAAGACTCTAACACTTTAACTTATTGCTGGAGATTGCAAAATCAAACCACTTCTAATATACCACAGCGAACATTTGCATAATTTTGTGCTTTCCTCGACTTACGTGAATTTTCGACTTACACGAAAACATTCGAAACAAATTAATTGCGTAAGTCGATGATTTACTGTATATGCATTACATTTTCCGTAGTGCACAAAATATATTAAGTCATCATTGGTACTTGATTCATTCGTATTTCATTTATTTTAAAACAAGATTCACATTTCCCTCATCATAAGAAAATAAAATATAATGAAAATATATAGAATGAAAAAAATAACATGAAAAATAAAATAATTAGTACAGATAATAATGATGTCTCAAGTTTCTCGAGGCATTTGGCACACACCATTCGGCGCCTTCCTCTGCGATTTCAATTACATCTTCTTTGCTATGTGGCCTATGGTAGGCCTTCTAGAGTCATTCGCTTTTCTGCGCTGCTTCTCCAGGTGGTGTGCAAAAGGCAGCGGAACCAGCAATGCTGGACTGTGTCCTCTTCTTCGCCACAGTCATAATCCGATGATTCTGTTTGCTTGAATCGCTTTCGGTATTGTCCGAATTTGCCATGCCTCATGATCAGTTGTACCGCCTGGTGAGGTAGCTCGCCCTTGTTCCATACACCAGTCTCAGAGCTGCTCCATCTTCTCTACCAAGCTTCGGCCGAGAAAAGAAAACATAGAATCATAGAAGACAATTTCACATTTATATTTATAATTATAAAAAAAGGGAATACAATGTTCATCAAATTAAATATAATGTTCACTAAATATCAGAACCGGCATTATTGAAGAAACTTTAATCATTTATAATGGAAGAAATCAAGTTTAAAAATATTTTTTTTTCAATTCTAAATAGAAATCAATACGCTTCTTTTTTTTGAGAAACGAATTGTTTGGGTACAAAAATATTCGAGAATCGAAGTTTCACTGTATAAGATTTAAAAATATTGAGTTTAAGTTTTAATAAATAAATTCTCGAAAACTACAAACTGAATATACTTATTTTCATTTATCATGAAATCAATCATTAAATCAATTACAGTAGTATCCATAACAACTATTATATAAAACAATCCAATGTTCTTAACAATTTCTTCATAACAACCATCAATAGTAACCAAGACAACTTTTAATAATGACAATAATATTACCTTAACCGACATATTTATGTCAATCTTTAAGGACGTGAAATAGACCTAAATACTTGTTGGTACTTCAATGTAATCTTTATAATATATATAAAAATGATTTGTTTTGCAATTGTTAACACCAAGTGAGTATAAACCTACGTTCAAGTAATACTTGTAACTTCTGTATAAGTTATTTTTTATATAGTAATGAAAAGAAAAAGTGTATAGCAAAATACCATAAAATAAGTTTATAAAATAATATTGTTTTTGTAATCTAAATCATTATAATTTACTTATTCTACGATTTAAGCATAAAATTGCCTGATTATGACTTACTTTTTGGTAAACAAATAGTTTTGTCATTGAAAATAACTTAATTTTACTGTAAAAGAAACATATATTTTTATTTTTACTATATTTAGATAACAAAGCGTTAAACGATTAATTATTATTAATAACATAATTGATATTGATCGTTTTAAGTTATTTTTAAAATTTTGATTACTTTTAATTAATATTGGATAGAGATTTAAATTAGAGATCAATCAAAGTGGATTTTCATTAAAACCCGTTGACGTTACAGAGTCTATAATTTATGTCGTCCACGCATACATTAAACGTAATAAAAATCCACTATGTCTTCGTTTATTCTAATTCCAAACGTTCACGTGGAATTTCAATCGATTTAAATGCGACGTGTATGTGTTTATCTTTACTACTTTTCTTTTTCGTTTGTTGTTGAAAACTAGTTATAGGATGGACAACAATGATGATGGTCGAAGCCGATGACCTGGAACTTGCTTTATTTAAATAATTTCAGATTGAGATCGCGTTGCGTGATAAAGATGTGTTATTTTTACAAATGCTAATAATAAATATTATATTTTATATATTCAGATTGGAACATGCGTGACGCATTTACATTTCTCGATGACGTTCAATTAAAAGCTGAAATGGTTTGTGCGTAAATAATTGAAATTCCTTTTAAACTCATCAATATTTAATAATATTATTCTAATTAGTTCATAAAAATACCAATAAACTGTATGTTTTATTAATTTTATTAAACCTTGAACTTGAATTTAATTTATTTAAATACGTATTTTAGTAAATATCTCATATTAAAGAAAACTTTGAAAATTATGAAATTTTCTTGTGTATTTTCATCCTTAATTAAAACACCTTAATATAGTGATAAGGCAGTCTCAATTTTATAATAACTGTATCAAAAGAAGCGGAAAATATGTTATCAAAAGTTCAGAAGAACCTTAACACACATATCTGCAATAAAAAGATGATTTGAATTAAGCGATCATTTCGGTTTGATCCATCGATAATAATATAAGAATTGGTCATCCGCCTTACTTCATCCCTTATTAACGATTAATGAAATGAAAGCTTTCCATTTTTATGCATTTTTTGTTTCATTAATTTGCAACTGAAACGAATATTAATATTAGAACCAAGTATTTTAAAATGTGTCTAAACAAATGTGTTCTTCTGCTTAATTGAAGCGAAATATTTACTTAACTACCAAAGTAATATTATTTTGTCATAGAATTTCAATATAATAAATGTAAACACATCACACATCTAACGTTTCTTTTTAAAACGCATAATGACAGTTAGTGATAACTGTCACTTAAAGATATTAAAAAGACTTTTTGCTTCCAGAAAATAGTTGGTATTAGTCTTATTTGACACAATTGTCGACACGGACATTTGACAATTGATAGAATTGTCAACGTAATGACAGTACTTCAAGTTGTCATAAGTGAAATTTATTACTGCTGTCTACTACTACACTACTAACCATAGTGACAGTTATTTAAATTGTCATACATCTAATTGATGAAATAACAACGTAATTTGTTTATAAACGTACAAACAGAAATAATTTTAATTTATTTAAAAAAAAAACTATACACTTTTACCTTTTCATCGTTAATTGCATTCTTAATCAGACAACTTAATTATAAAGTATGGTCATTAAATATTTTGACATCTGACATTTCAAGGTTTATTTAAAAAAAATGATTCGGAATTGTTATTTTTTATGTCATATTATCCGAAGTCTCCTGTGTAATGGATAGGGCGTATATATCCGCCGCACATCCGCAAAGGGTTAAGACGTGAAAATAAAATTTTCAACACATTTCTATTACTGAATGCTGTTCAATCTCGAAATACTGTAACTTATAAATTTCACTTTCCAAACAGTGGATTAAACTATATAAAATCAAATCAATAGTTTGATCAACAACATTTTTGAATTAATTAATAGAGTTAGTTTTAAAAAAATTGTTACAACTGTTTTATTGATCTTAGTTTTAATATGAAATTGATTTAATACGTTAGTATATTTAAGGTATAAGTAATTAATTGGAAAAAAAAGTGTGCGTTTCAATAATTCATTTATTTCTTTTTTATTATAATTTTCTTAATGGTTCGTAGTTTGTTTCACAGTAGTCATTTTAGTAGTAGCTGACGATCGGAGCGGAGTACGCTGAATAAGCGGAGTAAGCTGGGTAAGCAGCGTAAGGAGAGTAAGCAGAGTAAGCATATGGACTGGCATATGCAGCGCTTACGATCGGCGAGGAGTAGGCGAGTGCCGGTGCGGCGACGACGGGGGCGGCGGCGAGGATTCCTGCTTTTGCTTTAGGTTCGGGGGCGGCGAGAGCGATGGCCACGAGGGCTGCGAAGACGACCTGAAACGAAACGAAATTTAATTACCACAACTTCGAAACCTGACGAACGCAAACTTACGTATTTGAACATGACGATATCGATGTTTGATTGCTGATTGCACAGAGAGAAAACTGTGTGCTCGTTAATTGGAATTATCGTACTTTATATACATACATACATACGTTTCCCACCATCCGCGCAAAACTTGACTAACTTTATGTTGAATTGGTGGGACCAAACGCTGGATGCGTTTCTGCAATGCAATTCAAGAATATTGCTATTGAATAATGCCCTCGCGTCTCGACCTCGCCACTGCTAAATGTAGTTTACCTGCGATGGACACACTGTTACATCACTCGGTCTCGGTGACAAATGATGGTTTGAATATTGATTGGTTTCGGGTTGCCTCAAAATCTTTTAGACATGCACACACACACATATCCATATGCGTACACCGAATTAATGAAGTCGAATGCATACTTACGTTTCTTTAATGCAATTCTTTGGTGCAACAATCGTGTCCAAAAAATAAATATGTAAGCGTGGTATCATTTGCCAAAAATCTCCGCTTTCCTTTCGAAACTTTCCTTTATATGCACTTCTGATGTAATCTTAAAATATTACTGCTGAGTATAGTTTTAAATTGTATTAATTTACAATTAGTCAATACAGAATTAAGTAAAGATTTCAAAGTTTTTTTAAAATTTGATTATAGATCAAATATATTTTCAAAAATTCAAAAAGCTGCTTAGAATCTAACAATGATTTCATAAATGAGCATAAATTTCAACCTTTTTAATTAATTTATTAATGGATACAAAAATGTACTAAGTATCTAGTGAAGGTTTTCATAGTAGAAGATAAATCTTCATATTGTAACATTGATAATTAATTAGTGGATCAAGAAAATTGATAAGAATCTGACGAAGATTTCATAATTGACGACAAATCTTTAAATTTTAACCTTTTTAGTTAATTAGTTAAGAATTTAATGAAGTTTTTACAGTTGAAAGTAAATCTTTATACTTAACGTTTTTCAGTAATTAATCAATGCAGAAAATTGTTAAGAATCTTACGAAGATTTCATAGTTGTTGATAAATCTTTATATTTTAACATTTTCAATTATTTAATCAATCCAGAAAGTTGCTTCTAAAGAAGTTTTCCAAAATAAATTTTAAAATTTTAACCTTTTTAATTAATTAGTCAATTCAGAAAGTTGCTGAGAATCTAATAAAGATTTCATAAATGAGCATAAATCTTTAAATTGTAACCTTTTTAATTAATTCGTTAATAGATAGAAAAATTTACAAAGTATCTAGTGAAGGTTTCATAGTAGAAGATAAATCTTCATATTGTAATATTGATAATTAATTAGTGAATCAAGAAAATTGATAAGAATCTGACGAAGATTTCATAATTGACGACAAATCTTTATATTTTAACATTTACAGAAGTTTTAGAGGATAAATTTTTAAATTTTAACCTTTTTAATTAATTAGTCAATGCAAAATGTTGCTAAGAATCTAATGAAATGTTTACAGTTGAGAGTAAATCTTTATAATTAACGTTTTTCAGTAATTACTCAATGCAGAAAATTGTTAAGAATCTTACAAAGATTTCATAGTTGATGATAAATCTTTATATTTTAACATTTTCAATTAATTAATCAATCCAGAAAGTTGCTTCTAAAGAAGTTTTCGAAAATAAATTTTAAAATTTTAACCTTTTTAATTAATTAGTCAATTCAGAAAGTTGCTAAGAATCTAACAAAAATTTCATAAATGAGCATAAATCTTTAAATTGTAAACTTTTCAATTAATTCGTTAATGGATACAAACATTTACTAAATATCTAGTAAAGGTTTCATAGTAGAAGATAAATCTTCATATTGTAACATTGATAATTAATTAGTGTATTAAGAAAATTGATAAGAATCTAATAAAGATTTCATAATTGACGACAAATCTTTATATTGTAACATTTACAAAAGTTTTAGAAGATAAATCTTTAAATTTTAACCTTTTTAATGAACTAGTCAATGCAAAATGTTGCTAAGAATCTAATGAAGTTTTTACAGTTGAGCGTAAATTTTTATACATTAACGTTTTTCGGTAATTAACCAATGCAGAAAATTGTTAAGAATCTTACAAAGATTTCATAGTTGATGATAAATCTTTATATTTTAACATTTTAAATTAATTAATCAATCCAGAAAGTTGCTTCTAAAGAAGTTTTCGAAGATAAATTTTAAAAATTTAATGTTTTTAATTAATTAATCAATTCAGAAAGTTGCTGAAAATCTAATAAAGATTACATAAATGAGCATAAATCTTTAAATTGTAACCTTTTCAATTAATTCGTTAATGGATACAAAAATTTACTAAGTAACTAGTGAAGGTTTCATAGTAGAAGATAAATATTTATATTGTAACATTGATAATTAATTAGTGAATCAAGAAAATTGATAAGAATCTGACGAAGATTTCATAATTGATGACAAATCTTTATATTTTTACATTTACAGAAGTTTTAGAAGATAAATCTTTAAATTTTAACCTTTTTAATTAATTAGTCTATGCAAAATGTTGCTAAGAATCTAATGAAGTTTTTACAGTTGAGAGTAAATCTTTATACTTAACGTTTTTCAGTAATTACTCAATGCAGAAAATTGTTAAGAATCTTACAAAGATTTCATAGTTGATGATAAATCTTTATATTTTAACATTTTAAATTAATTAATCAATCCAGAAAGTTGCTTCTAAAGAAGTTTTCGAAAATAAATTTTAAAATTTTAACCTTTTTAATTAAATAGTCAATGCAAAATGTTGCTAAGAATCTAACAAAGATTTCGTAAATGAGTATAAATCTTTAAATTTTAACATAGTTAATTCATTAATTGATACAAAGAGTTACTAAGTTTCTAGTGAAGGTTTTAAAGTAGAAGATAAATCTTTATATTTTAACATTGATAATTAATTAGTGAACCAAGAAAATTGATAAGAAACTGCCGAAGATTTTGATAATTAAGAATAAATATTTATATTTTAACATTTTCAATTAATTAGTCAAAGCAGAAAGTTGCTAATAATCTGATTTATAGTTGAGGATAAATCTTTATATTTTAATATATTTAATTCATTAATCTATAAAAAAAATTAACTAAGAATGTAATGAAGTTTTCATATTGAATCGAGAAAATTTATAAGAATCCAAGATTCAAATAATTCATCAATCCTGAAAGTTACTAAGATTCTATAGAAATTTTCAAAATTAAGTATAAATATTTAAATTTTAACATTTTTAATTAATTAGCCAATTCAAAATTTCACGTAGTTAACATTACAAGTAAATGTTAACTACTTAACATATTCTTGGTTTTTCATTGACATTATTATAATTAATAATTTAAACTTAAATTACGGAACGAATCAAGAACATGTATTTCTCGAGTAATATTAACATTAACAAAAATTTGGTGCTGTTTTCCTGCTTGTCCGGTGTAATAAAACAATTTATATAATGTAAATAGTTTTTTTTGTACGTTTTTGTTTCTTCATACACATTTGTCATTGTACATAATTCTATCCATTTAGATCCACGGAGGCCACGTACACGATTGTCCCCACCCGTACAGAAGACATCACCGATGTATATAAGACCATCGATTTGAGTCTTCAAATCATCAGTTTGATATCGACAGTTAAATCAACCAAAGATGTTCAAATACGTAAGCATTCCACATACACAATCATTTATCATATATTAATTAATTGCTGTTTCAGGTTGTACTCGCCGCTCTTTTGGCTGTAGCCTTCGCCGATCCCGAACCTAAGGCAAAACCAGGTATCCTGGCAACAGCTCCAGTCGTAGCCGCCCCACTCGCCTACTCTGCCGCTTACACCGCTCCACTTGCTTACTCGGCTTACTCACCGTACGCAGCTTACAGCGCCCCCTACGTTGCGTCACCGTACGCTTACAGCGCCGGATACGCTTCTCCGTATGCCTACTCCGCATACGCAGCTGCCCCAATCGTCAAATACTTTTAAATGGACAAAAAGGACTGAACTGAATTGAAACCAAAAAAAAAAAGAAATTTAAAAATGCAAAGTAAATATATACAAATTAAATGAAATACAACTGTTTTATTAATATAAACTACATTCCTACATCTAATTATTATGTTTTTTAACTAAAAATACTTGAACTAATTTAATATAAACTCTTTTTTTTGTATTTATTTTAAAAATTCACAACCTGCCAATATTCTTAGCAATAAGTAGAATATTTTTTGGAAATAGAGAGAAAAAAAGAGATCAAAAACAGAAAAACAAAATAACAAGCGTGGAGCGGAACGATTTCCCATCGAAAATCTTCCTATAAACAAGTATAAATTTAACTAAAAAAATAATTCGATGACAATAATAACCTAACTAAAAATTGATTTTGATGACACTATGAAACTTAAATAAAGATATTCACTTTAATGGACAATTAAACTAACTTTTAGTTTCTAAAGAGGAGGTCGAGAGTATTGTGTCTTTTTAGTCTGTGGGGGATGTCACTATTGTCTAGGATGGATAACGCGAGACTGTTGGGGTGGTTTTCCCAGTCTGTTTTGATAACGGGCACTGAATATGGGGATTTCACTCTTAACAGTGTTCATGTGGAGGTCGTTGTGTATCGTGTCGTTCGTCACGTACCAGGGGGCCTGCACCAGGGCGCGCTGGCACTTGGACTGGATGCGTTGCAGGATCTCGATGTTGGATTTGCTGGCTGTTCCCCAAAGCTGAATGCCGTACGTCCACACGGAAACTGGTAACTCCACTCACAAGTAGTTTTGATATTTCAGTGGGTGCGAGAGAGATAAAGCATAACTACACGTTATTTCAATGTCTTTTTTTGGTTTGCATGTATTGATTTTGGTTTTATTTTAGAAATACATCTCAATAATTTATAGACGTATTTATTTTCTTATCCACTCTAGTACCGTAGGTCCGAGAAAATGTTAGGTTAGGTGAAGTTGCCCTAAGGTTTTATGTTTAAAAATATATAGAAACAATTTTGTTATATGGGTAATTTCATATCCAGTGGTGTAGGTCAAGTTTCTGTTAGTGGTTTTTTTTTTAAATAACATAAAAACAATTTGGTGATATGGGTAATTCAGATATTAAACTACAAATTGGTGGAGGCAACGTCTAGTCGTCCACACCGGCTTCAGCACTGTCTTGTAAATTAATAGTTTGTTGTCGAGTGATAATGGAGATCTTTTGCCGATCAGCCAGTACAATTTCGCGAACTTGATGCCCAGTTGCTTTCTTTTGGTTGCGATGTGCTTCTTCCGCGTGAGTCGGAGATCCAAGAACAAGCCCATGTACCACGCTCATACCCTACAGATGTTTGCTGACGTACTTCGAAATCTCGTGGTGTTTGAATGTGTTTTTTATCAGAATCGCCGTCCCTCCGTGCGTGGTACCGTCCGGGTGGTTAGTGCTGTACAGGGTGTATTTGGGAAACGTCACATAGCTCCTGTCCGTGGGACGCGTCTCCAAAATCATCATCAGCGAAAAAGCGAAAAAAGCGTTCAGCTCGTCGTTATGCTGTGTCAAACCGTTGGCGTTCCACAAGACCAGGCCAATTGATTGAGCCATTACGTTAACTTCGACACGAGAGCCAACACGACATTGAGTAGCGTGTCGATTTTGTCGAATAGCTTAGCTATCGTAAGCTCCAGCCGTGCTACCGGGTCCTGTTGTGGTCTGACTTGCTCTTCTTCGATTGTGGGCTGCGTATTTTTTGCGACTTGTTCTGTCTTTGGCCGCGTCAGCGTATTAAAAACCTGGTTTTATCCTTGGGTATTCCTTCTGTTGGGATTGCTGAGGCTGAGACGGCGCACTGGTCGGAGGTAATAATATTTTCTCCCTCAGTTTCGTGAATTTTCTGCTCTGCTTCTCTTTGTACACTGTACATCCCTTGTAGTTGGCATGTTGTTTGCCGCTGCACAGTGCACATGTCGCTTCCGTTGTCTTTTCCTTCGTGCACTCCGCGGTTCAGCGCGGCTTCAGAGTGCTGTAGCCCTTGGTGTGTCCGTACCTCTGACATCTCGCACAATGTGGGATGTCGTATCTACGGTGCGACGTCTCAATCACCACCCTCATACTTTGGAGATACATAATTTTGTGTATGTTTTTTTGCTATATCCACGAAGAACAACGGCAACGGATCTTTGGTGTGGCTCTTTATGTTTATGACGTTTTTTTAAGATATTCCACGTCCACCGACTGGTGGATATTTTTGACAACCACCCTGTACGATCTTTGCAGTGCCCTGATTCTCTAGCATCTTCTTGATGGTCGTGTAGTTCTCGGAGGTCTTCGGGAGGATTTTGATGGATCCCTACCAACCATCTTGAGGAAGTAACCATTCACTGCCTTGGTGTTGATTGAATATAAACTTAACACACGCTTCTGATAATGAAAACAACAAGTAAAATATGGAATTGAAAGTAATAATTTTTAACATGAAAATTTACAACTTTAAAAAAGTGAAATTTTACTTACAATGGTATGTAAAAAAGGGTAAATTAAATTTTAATTGATTAATCTTGAATAGTAATGCAAATAATAGTAGACGTTATAAATAAAATATATTAAAATACAGTGAAATCCCGTTTAACGAGTTTAATCCGTTGCAAACTTTACTAATTTTTACTCGTATAGTGAAACACGTTTTATCATATAAACTGATGTAATTTACGTTAATGCAGTGGTTTCCAAACTTAATGTTTCTACGCCTCCATCAAAAGTATGTAATCATTTGGCGCCTCCCCCCCACCATTTCATAAAAGGAACGCGTATTACAGCAATATGGATTAGAGCAGCGGTCGCCAATCTTTCTGACCTCACGGACCAGTTAATTCATAATTTAAATCCCGCGGACCACTAATAGGATAACTTAACATGATGAGTAAGTATATTCCACATTTTTCTGCGAACCAGCGAAATTTTCTCGCAGACCACTAGTGGTCCGCGGACCACCACTTTGGCAACCGCTGGTATAGAGCAACTCCACAATTTAAATAAAATAAATAAATAATTACAAGATAGTGACTATCCCATTACCATTAATAAATGTTAATAAACGTACATTTTGAAGATTATGGCATATTTCGAGGCAACTTGCAATATCAATTTAAATAGAACTACAAATAATCTGAAAACTTAATAAAACAGAAAAAAAATCATCAAAGATTACCTAACAAAATACATTTAAGTAAATTATTACTTATTATGGTCGCAACTGGAAAAATACAAGACAAAATTTGCATCCCGTCAATCGGGCGATACGTAGAAAATGGTACTTAGGCAATAAGTAATGAAGACAATGCCCAAACATTTGCTGAATGTTTCGCTGTTCATTTAATCATATCTATCGGAATGAATTATAAATTGAACATTTTTTACATAGCCATTAAAAATGTGCCAGCCATTAAATCTAATACTGTCATATGAAATTGCTGCATTTATAGGTAATTAAATTGGAGTTAATCACAGTTTAAATAATCAAATAACAGCCAAGAAATGTTTTTAAAAATTGTTTTGATTCAATTCTTAGCAAATAGTTTTAATACCCAAGTCACCTGAATAATAAAGGTCATATAGATAAGTGTTTAATAAATAATGTTAATGAATATACTAAAAATATTAATATACAAGAATGAGTTACTATATAGTTACTATAATCACCAAATTTTGATTTCGCTGTGAAGATAACTGAAAAAGTCGATAGATTTGTTAAGATATTAAATCAGGATTTCGAATAAAATTGCTATAGCTCAGTCGCATTCTTAGATGTATTGCAGACATTTGACAAAGTGTGGGATATATATTTGCACTACAAATTAAAGAAGAAAAAACCATGCAACTATTATAAAATCATAATTGACACGCAGACTAATTATTGCGAAAGTATTCAACACATGTACAAATTTGTATCTAATTAATATAGCAGGCAAAAACAAGACGGTACTGAAATCGTGGAAACTTAAAATATACAATCTACATTAATTTGCAGAATTAGTTTTATTTGGACTGAAAATTACATTGATTAATAGGCAATTAATAAATAATAAATATATAGTACTTTTTATTAAAGCAATAGCCGTCGCCAAGGAAATATTTATCTGCATAATATAATAAATATGTGCAACTTTCTGAATTATTAATTCGTAAAATTTTTCGCCACCGATTAGATATAACTTTACGACCATTGCTCATCCAAAAAAAAATCTTCTTCCATTTTCAAAGACATTCCAGAAGTCCATACATTGACCAATTCAACTGAGAACTAAAATATTAAAAAAATATAATGAAAATTCCTTTAGTGTAATCAGCTTACCAACATTTAAAAGAAAATTAGCAATATTATCGAATTCTTTATCAGTATCAATACTTATTAACTCCATATTGTATGCTTTGCAACCTATGTACGCTTTAAGCCAATTTACCTAAAATTTTGCAGAGAATGAATATGTTGTAATTAATATTAATAATACATACTTTATTGTTGGTATGCAAATAATACGTTTTGTTGCCGTAATTTGTTGAAACTGGTAAATTAATGGATTTCTCTGTGCAAAATTCCAAAGTGACATCACCGACATCTATTAAAAGTGATATTTATGTAAATGCATAATGTTTAGTTTATCGGGAATATATATAGTCTGTTTTAAATAAGTTTGTTAGTTTTTGTAATGAATCGATTATTTTCCAGGAAGATGATTTATATTTAATTTGGCAAATATTTTCTTTACTTTAGTGCATAAACCAGACTATATATATTCCCAGTCAATTAAACATCAAATCTATTCTGCAGTTTCTTTTTTTGGCATTAATTGATTCATTTTTCTATGAAGGACGAACCTCGTGAAGGTTGCCCGAAATCTTCGACCGATGATACAAATGTAGCCCTGGTGAAGTCAAACATTGACGAAGATCCAAGAGTGACACAGGAAAGGGTGGTGATGAACTGGGCTTGAATGCCATGGCTT